AATTGGATAATTGAAAAGAAATATAATATTTAATATTACTAAACGGGTGAATCAGCCTATGTATCATAATATATTTCTGATCTATCCGTTTTAAAAACGTTTGTAGGAAGTGCATCTCCTACTTCTAGTGCAAAGAACGTAACTATTAGAACTAGCTGTGTATTTGCTGTAATGCTGTATTTGTGATTTTTTTTAAACCGAAAGAATACAGCAAAATGGATTTTATGTCATTATAAAGAGTTAAGTTTACACTATCCATACGAAAATTTGAAGAAAAAAATTGTAGAGAAGAAGAAATTTTAGAAAATGGCGTTTGAGCGTTTCTGAAAATGCGGAATTTTGAACTAGTTTTTAAAGAAAACGGTTGACTTTTGAGAAACTTTGAATGACATTCTTTAAAGCACATGTACTCATAAAAAATAGCGTGAATAAATTGCCACTAATAAATATTAACGTGAAAGACAAGTCAAACAAATTACATTTTTGTAATTTTTGAAAAAACAAAAGAATAGAGCAAACTGATCTTTATGTCTTCTCATAGAGTACATTTAGCACTACCCTTACCAAAAGTTTTAAAAAAATTGGAGACTTTTTGAGAAAATCTTGTTTTGTTATTTTTTTAAATTGCACATGTTGCACGCAATATTGCGCGAAAACTACTTTGAGTTTCAAAACAATGTATATAACCTTAAAGAAAGAACTCACTATGGAGAACAAATTTTAATTGAAGAATAAATCATTATCTTCTTTTAAGGCCGCATGAACTTCTAGCTCATTAGCGACCACTATTGCTTGTAACGGTATGGTAACTGTGAGGATGGTACGATGTGATGATGAAAGGGGGTGAGAGAACGAACACAGCACAACCATGTCCGAGGCGGGACTCGAACCCGCGAACCTTCGGTCCGAGTTCGCTACGGCACTGCTGTTTAGCGATGTCGGCCACCGGATCGGCTTGCAATTTGCTAATGTAGGAAAAATGTAAAAAAAGGACAAACTTTTGCAATTTTGTAAACCTTAGAGTTAACCGTGAAACTATTATCTATGCCACCTACATAAGTGTATTTTAATCTATTCTCAAGAAATTTAAAGTCAAAATTTGAAAGATTTGTTTTTTTTAGAAAATTATGAAAATGTCCGCTTCATATAAAGTACACATTTGAAAGAATGCATTTCAAAATCTCAAAGCTTCGACTCGAGCCCGATGGACAGGGGTTTCTTCGATTTGGAAAAAATCCTACGTATGGTTTAGCCGGTAGTGGTGTTCACAGACGGACAGACGGACAGACGGACAGACGGACAGACGGACAGACGGACAGACGGACAGACGGACAGACGGACAACGGACAGACGGACGTTTTGCCGTGAATAGGTTTTCGATATCAAGGACCCACAAAACAAGGATTCTGGGTTCATCACATGTTACAGGATTGCTTCTTAATTAGGAACTGGATGTATCCACATTTTCGGGCCCGATAATGAAATTTTGTCTGCCGAAAATCTGCGTTTTTTTCGCGCAGCACTACATAATTTTCCCTATATTACGTTTATTACTCCGTATATATATATATATATATATATATATATATATATATATATATATATATATATGTGTGTGTGTGTGTGTGTGTGTGTGTGTGTGTGTGTGTACGGGAAAGTAAAAAGGGAAACAAACTCTTTGGACAGTTCGCTCGCCCTTATTTCTTCTTCACTGCCGTCTGAAGTCGTGGCAAGGTCATTTATAGTTATTTCAGAAACTGCTCAAGATTGATGATATAACTAATCTTCAAAGTATTAGGAATAGCGAATAGGAAGGAGAGCCTCGTCCGCAGATGTTGGGCCGCACAGAATGAAGAATAACAGATCATAAATGAGGGTGACAGCGTAATAGTGGCCTATCCCACATTTTTAGGAAATTGCGTTCTCTGTGTTATCACATCTTAATCTCCCTAACTTCAACGTGTAACAGTTTCAGCATGTTCGCGTCGATAGTTTTCAAGTTATAATTACAAAAAGAACTATTGCACTCAGCTTATGATTACATTTCTTTGTGCAATAGTGGCCTAAGCATAGGCGATGCTGTTTTACACAAGATGTAATCCACCACAAATGTTTAGTCAGTGGTTATTCTTACATAATATTATAATATGAAAACACTTACAAATGAGTGTTTAATTTTGCCAAAAACTTCATCAGCCATTTTCTCCAAACACAGGACCTGGGGATAGGCCACTATTGCGCTGACACCCTCAAATATTTGTGAGATGACAAGGTCCTCCAGCCGTGTGGACGGTAACGCGTACTCGTGTCGGCTGGGTGTGATTGAAGTGAATAATGGAACATGTAACTCATACGAGTTGCAAATTTCATCTAGTAGCAAACAGCAATCCGTCCGTACCTTCCTCATATGCGCCCTTGCCACCGTCTGAATATTATGTCAGTACTACGTATAACTATAGTACACTCGGAGAACATAGTACGCACGTACTAATTTATTTCCCAAAAATGAAATTTATCACTATTAGAGTTTATTAATTAAACGATATCGTAGCGGATTGAGGGTTATTCTACCATGCCACTCATTCAAACACTTATTCAAGCAAGTAGGAAGCGCAAAATCAAATTAAAAATATTGGAAAAGTATTCATTTATTACTTCAAAATAATATTTATGCCGTTGTTGTTTATGAAATGTTCTTATACCGTCATAACAGTCATTAGCATACGAAAATTAGAAAGTAAAACTTCTTCAAAATTGATATTCCTCAATTGATGTGCCCGTAATAAAAAATCTTCGAATTTGAAACGAATATTTTGATTTTTGGGGTACATTATATAAACCCTCAACAACATTCTCAAACATTACTCAAAACTGGTGTAATATTCCTAACGAATTTTCAAAAATGCAGAATTTTTTTTCGTTCTTTCATCAACAATACACTTCAATGATACAGATTTGTATATTAAAATTGTTTTCCTAAGGCAGATCATTAACAAAGGCCTGAACAAATTTTTTGAAAAATGAATAGATTTTGCGTAACTTTAGCTTCAATAATGGCAATTAAAGGAAATATTTTCTCTATAACGGCCAGTAATATTTTCTTTAAATATCTTGCTTTTACAGATCAGAAGGCTCATAAAATAGTAGCATGTTCAATTTTAATCAGACACCCTCAGTGTTCGAATTTTGCAAAAGTTACAAATAACGTGATAAATTATGTGCATCACGAGATATATTAGTGGTCACTAAAATAATATTTATGTAACTATCGTTTCATTGTACTTGTATTGTACGTAAAACACCAGTAGCAAACTGCAGTATAAATTTCAACTTCGAGATTTGACTGAAAATGGACGTTTAAAAACTGGAAATTTATGAGAAAATGCTTCATTGTTGCTTTTTTTTAAATAGTTTAAAGTTGGGTACAATTTTGCTTATTTTGTAACAAAATTAGTACATAATTAATAAAAGATTATCGACTAGTTGATTTTAAATATCTGAGAAGGGAGTGCTATGGCAGACACTTTTGTATGGAGCTAATATAATCTTTCGTTTTTGTAGACTGTAATATCCGTTAAGGGACCAAATAAAAGTTTGAAAATATAAAGTTAAAAAGTTCACTATAATACCAAACTGCTTACTAGATTATAATTTCCCAATTTGTGTTTAAAAATAGCAAATTTCCACCAAAATATTTGTACCTGTTTTTTATTTGTTTTCAGTTGAGAATAAAATTATTTGTTTTGTTACAAAATTAGTATATAAGTAGTATTTCCACCTTCATATTTGACTAAATGTGTTTTAAAAATATCGGAAATTTACGTGAAAAGTGTTTCATTGGCAGCCGTTTTTTAATTGTTTATAGTTAAGTACAAAATTATTTATTTTGTTAGATTATTAGTACGTATCTAACAGAAGAATAGTGACGAGCTGCTTTTGAATTTCTGCGAAGGGGGGTGCGATGGCGGACACTTCTGTTTCTAACCGCTCGCAATTTTTCGAGTTTGTAGACTGTAATATCCCTGTTGAGGGACCAGATAAAATTTTGAAATTATTACATGTAAAAGTTTACTGTGTTATTAAATTGCATTATGAAATTCAACTTTAAAATTTGACTCAAAATGTGTTTCAAAAAATCGAAAAATATGCGTGTAAATTGCTTCATTGGCACCCGGTTTTTAATTGTTTATAGTTGAGTACATTTATTTTATTTTGAAAGAAAACTAGTAGATAATTAGTAGATAATTTTAGGCTAGTTGCTTTTGAATTGATGAGAAGTATGATCTCTTTTGTATGTGGTTTTTTTATTGTTTATAGTTGAGTACAAACTTCTTTATTGTGGTACAAAATTAGTACATAACTAGTACAAAATTATAGGCTAGTTGATTTAGAATTTCCAACAAGTGGGGGTTCCTGCTTGACGGAGGTTCTAAATCGTTGGCTGGAAGCGAAACCCGATACACACCCCCACAGAGAAAAGCGATCTTTACTGGGCAAAGTCTGGGTCTCACCTTCGTAGGGAACAGTTCATTCGATCGCCACTAACTTTCACAAGTGAATGATACGAGGCGGTTAGATTAGTGGTTCCGCCGACAGGTGAGATACGTTTTCATAGTTCAAAGTAATTTTAATTCGAAATATTATTTTAAAACAATTATCTTTATTTTGAGTTAAGAAGCGCAAACAAGATTTTCACTACGGGGAGGGGGGTGAGGGGAGGTCAATTTAGATGTTACGTTATACACTCCCCGGCCTGCGGGAGCCAAGGAGCGGAGAGAGCTGCCTCGAGGAGCCGCAAGGAGCCGCGGGGAACAACAGGGAAAAGCGGGAGCAGCGGGGAGCAGCGGCGAGCAGTGGGGAACAGTGGGGAGCAGTAGGGAGCAGCGGGGGCAGTGGGGAACTGCAGGGAACAGCGGGGAGCAGTAGGGAGCAGCGGGGGCAGAGGGGAACTGCAGGGAACAGCGGGGAGCTGGGATTAGCGGGGAGCAGCGTGGTGCTACTGGGAACAGCGGTGAGCAGCGCGGTGCAGCGGAAATCAGCGGGAGCAGCAGGGAGTAGCAGGAAGCAGCGGAGAGCAGCGGGGAGCAGCGGGGTGCAGGGCGGTGCAGCGGGGTACAGCATGGAGCAGTGCGGTGCAGAAGGGAGCAACGGGGAGGAGAAGGGAGCAGCGCGGTGCAGCGGGGAGCAGCGGGGAGCAGCGGGGAGCA